TGGGTATCAGTCTCTTCTCTCCTTTTCTCTCAAAAATAGAGGATCATGGCTCTTGGGGCCAGAAAAATTACCACTTTCAAGGCAGCCCTTAGTAATACAGGTTTGTCAGAACCAAAGCAGTGGACAGCACCACAGTCACTTGGAATTTTCTTCTCACCATTCTGAAAGCCAGTTGGGCAAAGCCGAAAATGCTAAAGACACACAAAGTAACAATAAAACTATCCCTATATAGTCTACCTTACATGTAGTTTTATCTCAACCCCTACTCACTCCTCAAATCTGCCTTGATCTGCCTTCCTTCCACCTCAGTTTTTCTGCCAAAACTAGTAATTTATTTTGTGGTATACTAAGCATTTACTGAAGAAACAGGCATAAATAACTATGGAAACCAGGCAAGAAACCATTCTTGCTTAGTGATGGAGGAAAAAGAGGTCAGCAGAGCTTTCACAGGAAGGTGCTGGAGGATGTGTAGGATTTTGTTAGGCACAACTAGAGGAAGGCAGGTAGAGGTAACAAGAAGAACAAGACAAAGAGGTCTGAAAGAACATGGTATGAGTAGGAAAGAGGAGCAAAACAAGAGACAACTGCAGCTGGAGCTTACAATATGTGGGCAATAACCAGAGATGATACTGGATAAGGGTATAGAAAATTTTCACATGATGCCAAAAGACTGCAGTGTATCTGTGATAGGGAACCCTGGAAACTGGTAAGCAGAAGACTGACCATTCATATTTTTACTGTACTGTACTTACAACACAGGCACACAGAATTAAATTATGGCTGTGGATTTATCCTCACTCTCAAGATGGTATGTACATGACTTTCTCTTTCTCCATTCTTCCCTTCATTTCTTTTGTTCCTTTCTTTTCTTCTTTTAATTTTAATAGACTCTTTTCTAGAGCAGGTGTAGGTTTACTGAAAAACAGCAGATAGTACAGAGTTCCCATATAGCCCTTCACCCTTCCTCATGCCCTCTTCTCCCTCTTAGTAACAACCTGTATTAATGTGGTACATTTGCTATAATTGATGAGTTGATACTGATACATTATTATTAACTAAAGTTTACAGTTTACATTAGGTTTCTTCTGTTTTGTGTAGTTCCACAGATTTTGACAAATGCACAATACCATGCATCTGCCATTAAAGTACCATACAGACTAATTTCATTGTCCTAAATCCCCTGTGCTCACCTATTCCTCTAGTCCATTGCCTCCCTAACCCTAATCTACTTATGGTTTTCATATTTTTACCTTTTCCATAAGGCCATATAGCTGGAATCATATAGTACTGTGGTCCTTTCAGATTGGCTTCACTTAGCAATATATATTTAAGGTCACAGTCTTTTATGGTTTGATAGCTCACTTTTTAGTGGTTAATAATATTCCACTATATGGACATACCACAGTTTGCCTATTATTCTACTAAGGGGGATTTTGGCTGCTGCTAAGTTTTGACAACTATGCATGAAGCTCCTATAAACATCTGTGTCCAAGTATTTGCATGGATATGTTTTCATCTCATTTGGGTAAACACCAAGGAGTAGAGCTGCTAGATCATATCACAAAACAATGTTTAGCTTTCTGAGAAACTGCTGCACTATCTTCCAACATGGCTGTGATATCCTGCATTCTCACTAGCTGGTTTTACATTGACCCAATTGTCAAATGCAGTGGTAACCTTTTGGCTCTTACATTATACAATTTCTTTCTTGTACTAGGTATTGCTACCACCCATCCCTCATCCTCCTTCCTTAGTTTCTGCGACCCACTGTATCCTCTCCTACCATCATTTAGATATCTCTTTTTCTCACTGAAGGGCTTTTTCACTAGTATATTAAGAGTTACAGGTCCCAGAGATTCTTTGTTATCTTTTCTGCTCATTTCCTTCTCTAGAAGAGTTCAGTATTCCCCCTCCGCTCTGCCCACATTCTCTTCTGCTGCCTAGATACAGATTTCTCCAAATCTACTTCTTTAGACTCATTCACTTTTTCTGAAGCTCTATATTTAAATACTCAGCCACCTAACAGACATTTTACTTATATGTCCCCATCAATATGTTCACAATCAAATCACCATCCTTCTTTCCAAACCTGTGTGTTTTCCTGTGTCCCCCACCTTGGTAAGGGGCTCCATCTTTCATCTAGGAAACATTCCCCTAATCTGGAACATTGCTCTTATTTCCTCCTCTTCCCCTTCCTCCATTCACACATTCAACAAATCACCAAACCCTTGATATGAGACAGTAAGGCATGAAGATTAAAAATATATGCTTTGAAATGAGATTGCAAATTCCAGCTCTGTCACTTACTTTTGCAAATTTCAACTGGAGCCATCAGAGGACAAAAGGGGCAGGGCAAGGCTCTTCACCGGAGACTGGGGACAACCCCACTAACACCTTGAATTCAAACTTTTTACTTCCAGAATTGTGAGGAGATACTGTTCTGTTATTTTATGTCACATACTTTGTGGTAATTTATTACATTAGCCACAGAAAATTAATATAAATGTCTTACATACCAAAAGAAATGTCTTACACATAATGGAAGCTCAATAACTATCAATTATTGTATTAGTCACTTAAAATCACAGGCAATACTTCCTTTCTGAAGTAACTCACACCCCTACACTTTCATGGAAAGAGTCAGAACTATACTTTGTCACTTCAACACTAGTAAATTCTCTCTTGACCAAAGGGTCTCTCTCTCCACTGTTAAGGGTCAAGTTCCAGAGGCTAAGTAGTTTTGGCTATATACTCCTTCATATGTTTTTTTATTCCCACATGCATAATGTCTTTTATTCCTTTGGAAAGCTAAGAGTACTGTAGAAAGCACTTGATACCAGTACAATGCCAGGAGGAAAAATAGCTTGTGCCAGTGAGGGTGGAGAGACACCCTAGCTGACAGCTGACTCCAACTAAGCACTCAGAAGTCCACCTACAGGAAACACAGCTGCACTGAAACAGAGCCAGGTTAGCTGTCAGTTTCTAATCCTACTCTACAGCATAAAGGAAACCATGATGCTACTCTACTAGCCAGGAAGTGAGTGTTGGAAAGTAAGCTTTTAGACATGGTCCCGAATACAGCAAAGAGACTGACATGAGGGTCTGCTCAGAAGTAAATTCCAACTGTGCTCTGCTGTTCTCATTTGGTTTTCAACAGCATTCTTCTATGAGATCTCCCAGAGGACAGAGACCTCCAAGCCAGCAAGCCCATGACCCTCAGAGAGCCCACTTCCCCTCTACCAGACACGCCCTTGCTTCTGCTTGTTGACATCCGCTGTGAGCCCCCATAAATGGTCACTTCTAACTCTCCTGGACTTCATTTCTATTTAAAGGGCTCCCTTTTATTCAATCTCCCTGCTACGGAAATAGTCCTTCACATCTATATGACATCAGAGACTGCAGATACTGTGACACACACTGCTCCTCCTTCCTGATCCCATTTCCCCTAACCCACATGACTTCCTCTAATAACTCTAAAAGCTGCAACTATCAGCAAGTATGCCCAGGTCAGATGTGATTTTATGCAAATATTGTCCATCTCCTATAAGAGCAGAAATCATGGTCTGGAGATGCTGGTAGTGCTGCGTCAGTTTGCTGAGTGCCACTGTTTTCAGAAGACCATAAAGTGCTCTTCAACTCTGTCACACTGGCTGAGGCAGGGGTGGCAGAAGCAAGGGGAAAGGAGGGCCTATCTATTTAAAACTCACCCACAGGGCCGGGGATTTAGCTCAGTGGTTCAGGTGCCTGCCTCGAAAGCGCAAGGTCCCGAGTTCGATCCCCTGGTACCTAAATAAATAAATAAATAAATAATCACCCACAGAATGTAATTCATGACCTGGGACAGATTACATAATTAACTTCCTTGGGCCTTAGTGTTCTTATCTGTAAAATGGGGTTAACAACAGTAGCTACTGACTTCATAGGATAGCTAAGAGGATTTGCCAAGGGAGTAGATAAGTACTTAGCACAGTGCTTGGCATAGAGCAGTGGTGGCAAACCTATGACATGCATGCCACAGCAGGCAGTTTGTATCACTGAAAGCTCTAAAAGGTTTACCATCACTGGCGTAGAGAAAGTACCCAGTAAATAGTAGATGTATTTATGCATGAAATCAACAGGAATCTAACTAGTTAGATTTCCAAGCCCTTCTCAATATTTAATCCTTCATGGGTCTCTTATACAACAGCTTATTTCATCTCCCAAGGGCTGCCCCAGGAAGACTGGTCTGTTGGCCTTACTCAGCACTCAGTGCTTAGGTTCAGTAGCACCCCCCCATCATGTGTCCCTGTAGAGGAGGGATATTAGGACTTAAGCACAGCTGAACATCAGGGAGGAACTGGGACTCTCTACCACTCTCAGGCCATCACACCCTGATGATTAGACACACACATGCACAGTGCACAGCTCAGGGAGGTACACCCTGATCTGGTGGTCTGCAACCCCTAAGGAAGGTAAGGGTTCAGCTTAGTAGAAAGCAGGTTTCATGGGAATGCCCTGCCTGAAGTCAGCTCACCTTCAGGTTGAGCATCTCCCCAACCCTGGTTAGTCCTAGTTATTTCCTAGCTCAGGCTTTCTTCCAGATAAGTATCATTCAAATGTTGAATTTCAGTTGTAGGTTAGCAATGGGCTAGTCTGGTCCACTATTCTTTAGCCAAAAATTATATCATGTGTGACAAACATACTCTGTTGTTAACATTATCAAGTATTATGAATTATTCAAAATTAAAATTCTGCCTCATTGCTACAAGAAAAAGATAATGGGAACAGAAATTACACTGACCTTAAAATTGCTTATTATATGACCAGAATTAGTGCCAGAGATATTCATCCCCAAGAGTTTTAAACAATCTTAATAGTCATTTCTCTTAGGATGACATTATCACAGTTAAATTATTTTTACAACAAAAATATATATAATTAGTTGAGCTTCCCCACAGACAACCTGAAAAAATTACAAAGCTTAAGGCCCTTCTGTGTCATAGTAGAGGTTTAACCCTGTTCTCTCTTCTGATCCTGTTCTCATAGTGAGAGGGTTTGTTTTCTCTCTGTAGAGAAACCCACTATGATGGATGGTGGCCCTTCCACCCTAGGGCTTATCTCTTCCCTGCCCTCAAGGGTCTGGAGGAGCAGTATGTAGGATGAGCCCATTAACTCTCTCCTGGTGGATACTCTAGTCCTGACAGTCCTCTTGGGGGATTCTCCCAAAGTCCTGCATAGGAACAGTGCTGCACATGCTACAGCTTCAGGCATCAAATGACCAGTTGTTGGAGAAAGAAGATCAAGAACAACACCTTATTTAGTTTGTGACTGTATCAAATTAGATTTTAAAAATACTTGAATGGATCCAAGCATAGTGGTACATATCTGTAATCCCAGATTCTTGGGAAGCTGAGGCAGAAGACCACAAGTTTGAGTCTAGCCTGGGAAACTCAGCAAGATCCTGTGTCAAAATTTAAAAAGACTTCCTGCCTGGCTAGCGTGAGGTCCTGAGTTCAATCCCTGGTGCCAAAAAAAAAAAAAAAAAAAAATTAAAAGGACTGCATATGCAGCTTAGTAGCAGAGCACTTGCTTAGCACGCACAAGACCCTGGGTTCAATCCTCAGTATAAAACAAAACCAAACCACCAAACCAAAATAATAATAATAATAATAATAATACCTTGACTATATTCCAATGATGCCAGAAATGTAAAATAAGCATTACTATGTAAATCATGCCTTCTGGCCTTCACATGAGATTATGTAACACACAGTTAGGCAGTGATCACCACTGGATGCTCTTACCAAAGTAACAAACTCTAAAGAAAAGAAATTCCTTTTCTCACAGCTGGGAGAACCCTCCTGTCTAAAACATGACAGCCTGCTAAAGCACTGCCACAGAAACGTCCTTGAAATTCATTTTATTTCCATGCTTTGAAGACTCAAACTTTCAAACAAACGTCCAGTTAAGCCACAGAATTATCACATGACCCAGAAACTGAACTCCTAGGTATATAATCTGAGCAAACTGGATACATGACTACACAAAACATGTACACAAGTATTCCCAGTGTCACTACTATATAAACCACATGCAGTATATTCATAGAATGAATATAATTCAGTCAAATAAAGAAATGAACTACTGATACATGCTATAACACAGATAGCCCTTGAAAATATTAAGCTCAGTAGAAGTTAGACAGAAAAAAAAATCACATATTGTATACTTCTTATACAAAGTCTTCAGAATAGGCAAATCCATGGCAACAGCAAGTAGATTAGTGCTTGCAAGGGGGAAGAGAGAAAAATATGGAATAGCTGCTGATGCATAAGGGAATTTTTTTTTTTTTTTTTGAAAACAGGGTCTTACTTCGTAGTTCAGGCTGGCTCTGAACTCACTATGTAGCCTAGGGTGGCCTTGAATGCTCGGAGATCCTCCTGCCTCAGCCTCCCCAGTGCTGGGGTTATAGGAGTGTGCCACCATGCCTGGCCATAAGGGATTTTTTTTCAGAGTGATGAAAATGTTTTGGAACTTGTAGTGATGACTGATATCTTTGTGAATATATTAAAAATGAATGAACTGTACACCTTAAAAGGGTGAATTTTACGGTATGTAAAATATCTCAATTTTAGAAAAAGGTCCAGCTTAGTTCTAGACAGAAAAATCAGACAGATTTAATTCCAATCTGCTGTCTGCAATATGCTGTGGGCAAGTCATTTAAACCCTCCAAGTTTCAGTTTCTTTTTCTGCAAAATGGGGATGGTAATAAAAGAATGATCAGTGTGGCTATTGTGAGATCCAAAAAAGGAAATAAAAGTATTGAGCACAGTGATGATAACAGAAAGTGGCCAATAAACTATTAAAATGATAGAAATAGGAGGAACTGGCCCTTAGCCAATATACCTTTTGACATTCCTGGAATATATTCAATAATTTCTATCAGACCAGATAAAAGATATAATTTTTTCATATAATACTATGTAAGGAGTTAAATTAGGCTTGCTGTTCAGTCAAACAAGGAAAATCTTGCCACTGAGGGAGAAGTAGTCACAAGCAGAGAAATAGTACCTAATGCGAGGGGGTGACAAGAGCTCTTTCTAGAGCCCCTGCTCAACCTACCTGAGAACCAGCGGGGCAAGCTGCCTACCCCTGAATACCCCCAGGGGCCTGGGAACAACCTGGGAACAACTCCACTTGATGGCTCCCCATCTTCCTTCTTACCCTCCACACCAGGCCAGAGGGAAGGCACCACTATGCCTTGGCACCACTCAGCAGGGCCAGTGCCTAGCAAGACGGCAGGACAAAGTGTGATAATGGTGGTTTCCGCCTCTATAGCCCAACTCTTGCCAGACCAACCCCTGCCCCCTACAACTTGTTGCCCCCTACCTCAACTTGTTACAGGGACACATTATACATAATGCCTCAAATGACAGTTGCAGTAGGGTCTCTCTATACATTTTCATAACAGTAGTATTTCAGGGAGGGCAGCTGAACACTGATCCTCTATCAAGGGCAGGAGAAAGGCTGCCTTCAGGGATACTCTTCTCTAGTCATCCTTACCAGACACAGCCAAGAAGATCCCAGGTAAAAGGGACTTCTCCCTATTTTTCTCATTTGATTTTTTTTTCTAAATGTGGACTGCTGAAATTTTAAAAATGTATATATCATCACACTGCCTTCAACTTAAAAAAAAATGTTTGAACTGTCATTATTTGTGCTATTCCTTTTTTAGAAATCATATGTAGTAATGTGTCATTTATTGGTGAGAACACACTCAGAGAAACATGTTGTCAGGTGATTTCATCATTGTGTGCATATCAGAGAGTACTCATACCATCCTAGCTGGGATAGCCTTCCATGCACCCAAGCTATATGTTATAACAGCCTATCACCCCTAGACTCCAGACCTGAACAGCACTTTCCTGTATTGAATACTATAGGCAACTTTAACACAATGGCACTTTTAGTATATGTAAACGTATCTAGACACAGAAAAGGTGCAGGAGAAATACAAGGCAAAAGGAATTTTTCAACTGCATTACAATCGTATGAGACCAACACATATGCAGTCTATCATCAACTGAAATGCTACACTTAATTGTATATGAAAATTTCTGACTGATACACACATTTAAATTTTCATGGCTTAGGGAAGCAACACAGGTGTTAAAAATCAGACAGTTAACATTTTAGGGTAGATAAATTAGGGTCAAATTCAAGCTCTACTCCTTCCTTGCCATTTTACTATGGAGAAGAGGACTTTTAAGTTTCAGCTGCATCTCCTATAACCTGGGCATAATAACTATGAAAATAAAATAATATACATGGGACATTTTGTACAGAAGCTGGCTTTAATAATGGTCAGTAAATGGTAACCAGTATTGTTATTAGGTAAGATAACCATGCTTTGAGTTCAATGTTGCTTTTTTTCAAGATTTAGTTCATCCCTTGGGGTTTCAGAAACTTCAGAAGCAACATCAGGCCTCCTGAAAACCCTGTACCTGTACTTACCACAGGAAGTTCTGGGTAAAGTGTAGTATTTCTCTGGCACCTGAACTGAAATTTCATGGAAAACCCTTGTTTCAGGCACTTTTGGGGCAGCACTTCACGATTCTGATTTCATCTCTGCAGTGGTTGTAGCCACTGCTGCTACCACCACTAATAGAATACCCAGCCTCCCACCTGGGATGTAACTTCTCTGATATCAAGGAGACTTCCACAGGGAACCCATCATGACACACAGGTGTGTGGGGGGTTTGTCCAGATGGAACCACTTGAGACTTGTGATAAGACATTAATCCCAGAATACTGAACTCCTAAATTCCCCTGAACTTCCTGGGCCAGTAGAAGCAGCCTCTTCTCTTTTTGCCTAGAGACCCTATAAAGATCTCGCCCAAGCCAGCTGCCTCATAAGATGATGCTTCTCCTCCTCAGAATGCTTCCAGCCCAGCTGTTATTTAGGGAAGATGTCAGCACAGTCTACAGGGAAAGGGGGTCCCTGCTTGTGCAGGGAACCACTTCAAGGTGAAGGACTTTCAGGACCCATTGTTATATACCAAAATGTACGGGGGAAAGGGGTGAATGCCAGCCTAGGCTGGTGGAAATTCATCTACAAGGGGGTATTCCTTTTTGCTTTGTGGTCTGGCATCCAGGCATGGACATGAAGCTGGTCTTCATACATTAGGATGACTCCTTGAAGCCTGGCACAATAACCAAATATAAATTAAATGGAGATGCTGGAACTGCCTTGGCAAAATAATGAGGAAAGGGTCAAAAGGCTCAAAGGTGGGCATACGAGGAGGATTTATTATGAGGCATCAGAAGAACCTCTTATTTGACTATGGTCCCAAGAGGACAGAGAGGTCACTAAGTACACTAGAGAGGGGCATGTTGACATGGAGAAGCCCACTGGTTCTGTTCTGTTGGCTGAACTCACAGGAGAACATACTGCTATGTTACTGAGCATCCCAATTAATAGAAGATGAGAGGATTCTAAAATAGCAGAGGCTGGGTAGCGACAACAATTAACCATCACAGGCTAGATGGATGTAATACTGTAAATGATAGTGAGGCCAGAGTGTCAGTCAGGATGCTTTGACAATTTAGGATCTGTATCAATGACTAATTGGCCCTGGGCAAACTCAATGGACAATTTACTAGGGTGTTACCTGACCCGTACCAAAAAAAAAATATATATCAAGCAAGGTGGAGAGCTGATATCAGCTGCTGTAGTTCATAGACTCAGGGTCCACTGTTGGAGGAGGAGCTAGGCCTCCTTGAGAAAGGACCCTGTGATATAATAATAAATATAATAAATATTTCATTGGCCTTTCTACAAAAAGGACCTGCTACCACTTACTAGGACCATGGGAACTGGGGAAATGGAATAAGGTCTTTCAAACACTGTTGGATATGGGTCTTAGTGACTCTTACACAACAGGACATAAAATGGTGGCTCCCAGTTAGAGTGGGGGATTATGGGACCCAGGTGACAAAAGGAGCTGTGGTCTTACATGTTTCATAGCAGGTCTAGCAGGACCACAGTGTACAGGTCCCTAAGTGTATGATTCAGACAGACGCACTTTAGAAACTAGAAAAACACAATGGTTCTGTGGATGAAGAATTAGGACACTACACAGAAAAGAAAGAACTATAAATCTTATTTTTCTTCTGTCCATAGATCAAAACACAGCATCTTGTCTCTGAAATAATAGTTGACAACCATTTACTATTCCAATGTGTACTACCTCCTGGTACAAGACAGCATAAAGGAACATTCACACCACATCTGCCTTTAGCCATGTCTGACTTCCCTTGCAATTTGCGACATTTAGTGACCTAGATTCTGTCCAATATCAGCCAGACTTAATGTAAAACACCAAAATCACCCCAAGAACAAACAGACATTCAAAAATTTTAAATTGAGCAGTTAAAAGTTACTCACTTGACCAAATAAAATCCCCACTCTCCCCACAAAGTAACATTCTTTTCAATAAAAACGGAAGTTTCTTAGGCAGTCAGGAAGGAAAAATGCTACCCATTTCTGAAATGGAAATGAAAAGGCTATAATTAGGAATACCTTTGTGCTAATTTTTGCTTTCACAAGGGTAGGCTGTAAACTGGAGTGATTTAGCACTGAATTGCTTATGTGGGTGATCTCAAATAATTCCAGTTTTCAGAGCTGATCCAAACAGTGACAATAAAATTCTTGAGGTTGAAAAACCCTGTCTTACTTTTATTTACCCCCTTATTCATCTCCACTGTGTTTTGCACAGAGTAAATACTCATTAAAGAGTTGTGAGAGCCTTTTTTGTTTGGTCTGGATTTTGGAGACAGGGTCTGGCTAAGTGGTTCAGGCTGGCCTTGAATTCATTATGTAGCCCAGGCTGGCCTCAAACTCCTCAGGAGGAGTAGTGATCCTCCTCCTGTCTTAGCCTCCCAAATGCTGGGATTACAAATAGGCACCAACACACCCAGCTCTCAAGGACCATTTCTGTGTGACTAAAAGACTTCTGGAAAAAGTGGTACCAGATAAAAAGATTTTTGATAATGTCAGAAAAGATTTGGTGTCCTACCTATCTATGCCTGCTGTAACTCAGGGAAATCAAACAGTTGATGAAAGGATGTTTTGCATTATAGAAGTATCCCATAGTACAGAAGGATGGAGATAAATGAACAATGGGATTAGAGTATCACCACTAAGCACTAATGAGGTTTTGGTTCTCAGTGATTATTACTAGTGGGTAAGAACATCACAGGAAGACATCACTGAATATTGTATGCCTCCTGGTGGAAGTACATGTGACTCGAGTTCACCATGAACTGGTCACCAACCCCAGAGAAGAATTCTAGCACCTTGCCTCTGCACCGTGGACTCTGCCAATTTCTATCACTTGCACAAGTTCAGTGAGACAGAATAATCACTTACAAGTTCCATGCAGTAGTTTTATTATGTATAGAGACACAACAAGTGAGAAGAGTAGCTGTGAGTCCATGACAAGCCAGTCCCCTGAGGCTCGGGAAGCCTGCCTAGGGTGAATGGAGCCTTGGCTGTGCATCCCTTACTTGTAACACTGGAAGGACCCCAAAGGCAGCCCACTCCGAGCATTTCACCCCGGGAGATAGGCTATCATAGGCTAGAGCAATGAAAGACAGTCTGGTTCTTGAGGGGAGAGAGAGACCCAAGGCTATTCCCACCAGTTTCTCTATCTCAGGATGCTGCATTCCTAGTTAGTTCTGTGGGTATTCTTGAGAATTCGAGCAAGAAAGCTGACAAAATGGGGTCAGCTCTAAGGTCACCGTCCTGCAGCACACAGTTGTAGAGTACAGTAGTCTTGTTTCTCTCATCCCTCCAAAAAAGAGCCAGATTCTAATCAAGCTTCTAGGAGATCTAATTATCAAATTACAGAAAATTCAAGGGACAGGAACATGTTATGTAACAATAGGGGATATGTGTTTCTATCCTGGCATTTTATTTCTAGCCTGTTGCAGTTTTTAAAATTACATTTGTAAATATAATAAAAATACATCAGGAGAAAAAATTATACAAAATACAAGCCCCAATATTTATGTATAAATTCCAAACACAAAAGAACATTCCAATAAATGTAACTAGAAAAAACAGGGAAAAAAGAACTGGGAAAGCTATATACATTATTCACTGGAAATGCACACTAGGCCATTAACAAAGTTGCCATCACACAAGTTTCTACCGCCCTGCAGTTGCAACTAAATAAGTTATAAAGGAAGTAATGGTTCCTCATATTAAATACTTACATACACACTTTGAAGGGAGACCATATTTATCACTATTCAAAACTTTTAATGTGGAAAATTAAGCTTGCTTCTAGCCTGCTCCCTGATCTAAGTTGGACTAAGCACAACACTATTAGTTGGAGATAGTTGCATCACTTCTCTCAATGTTCACTTTAATAATCACTGTAGAGAAAAAAAATCACAAATGTGTGCTTATGGAAGTGAAGAATAGATTTTAAAGTTATGTTAGCAAGGTCAAGATATTTATTTTTAAATTTTTAAAATAACTGATATTCCATTTTCAAAATTTGCCTTCAATCTATCCAATTATAGTAGTCAATTCTCATAATTTATCTTGTAATACTGAGTTTAAATTATGGGTGAGGGCCAGGGATTTAGCTCAGTGGTTTCACTGCCTGCTGTGCAAGCACAAGGACCCAAGTTCGATCCCCAGTACCAAAAAAATAAAATAAAAACTTTGAGGGCATTATGCCAAGTGAAATATACCAGTCACAAAAAAGAAATACTGTATGATTTCACTTATATGAGGAATTTAAAGCAGTCAAAATCAGATATAGAAAGGGAGAATGGTGGTTGTCAGGAGCTGGGAGGAAATATGATGGGGAATTAATGTTTAATAGGTACAGAGATTCCAATTTACAAGATGAAAAGAGTTACAAAGATGGATGGTAGTGAAGGTTGTACAACATTTTGAATGTATTTGATAACAATGAACTCTAATATACTTTAAAAGGGTGAATGAAGATGGTAAATTTTATGTTAGGTATATTTTACCACAATAACATATGTTTTAAAAGAAGTATGTATTGAAGTAATTAGTAGTTCCTATATTTGTGATAAGGTCCTAAATAAAATCTGAAAACAGTTTTTAAAAAGGGAGGAAAAAAACTTAGATTACCAATGACAGAAAAGGATTTCTAGCTCCACAAAATTCCCAAAATAGATCTTTTGTTGAACTAAATTCAAAATGTTTGATCACATTCAAAAAGTATTTGATCATTTTTACATATGTAGAATATTACACATGGATATTATCTGTTGATATTAACTTATAGATTACACAACAAAAATCAGCTGAAACTCCATTCTTCTACATTAAAAATCCTTTAATCTTAACTGTCATTGAAAAAAACCGTGCTATTTTTCTTCTTTGGAGGACATTATTAGATCACTGAAAGGTGACCTGGTGGCACACACCTGTACTATAATCCAGTACTTTAGGAGGCTGAGGCAGCAGGTTTGAAAGTTTGAGCCCAGCATGGGCAATTTGGAGATTTAGTGAGACTCCATTTCAAAATTAATTTTAAAATGGTTAGGGACATAGCTCAATGCTAAGGCCCTGGGTTCAATCCCTGGTAACACACACACACACACACACACACACACACACACACACACTCACCACTGAAAGCCAGAGATAGACAAATGCACATTTTTAAAAAGTTAGAACCAATTGGCCTTTTATTTATTTTTTGTACAGTGCTAGGAACTGAACCTGGGGTCTTGGTGGTAGGCAAGGGAACTATTACTAAGCTACACCCCTAAGCCCCCAAGTGGCTTTTTATCTTGAACACTATGAGTTCCAACATTTGATAGCTTTTCCTTAATAACAATCCTAATATAGCAGGCAATAACTACTTTTTACTATCAGCTTCCTCTTAGAGAATAATCTCAAATTTAACAATTAGCCTTTGTGTAAATTTATAGCTTTTACTATCTAACCAAACCTCTTGTTTAATTCTGTTGACATTTTTTCACAGTGAGACATTCTTGATGAAAGAAGCAGTATGCTGATTTTCATTCTGGCACAAGCCTCTTCAGCCATATAATTACATGCTATTATTGTACCGAACCATTAGAACATTGTCAAACACAAAATACATCCAATCACGTGTGCTAATAATGCTCATATGGATGGATGTTGCAGCAATATCAAACTGTTTTGTTTCCAAACATTTACTCCCAATATTTATACTTGTCACAATACTGAACCACACTTTTAGCATCACTGCTTTAAAAGACAAATGACTACATTTCTTCAACAATGACACAAGGAAAAAAAAGAGATGGAGAATAAACTTCAAGATTAAAAGCGATTTAAGACACTTACCAGTGCTATGGATGACCTTCCTTGAATTTCAATTAAAATAAACAAAATTTTATGTGAAAAACTAAATAATTAACCAGTGGTTGTTTTAATTTTGGAATTTTGCAATGAAGATATTGTAGGGTTGTTTTTTTTCAGAAGGATGCATTGAGACAATCTCAAATAATCAGGGACAATGTGGTACACTGTTTGGGATTTGCTACAATCAAACTGAATGAGGGAGAGGCGTACTGCAGACAAACAACAACAGCCATATTCTGCTCATTGTTGAAGCTAGGAGGACTGATAAGTAAGGTCTTTACACTGCTACTGCTACTTTTGTATGTGTCTGGAATTTTTTAAAATGAGATTTTAAATGGTTGAAAAAATACCCAGTGACCAAAGCTACAATGAATAATTAGTATTTTATTAATCTGCAGACTTAATTGTTTGATTCCAGGTATATAAAAGAGTGATCCCCAACCTTTTTGCCCTCAAGGCCCAGTTTTGGGGAAAACACTATTTCCATAGATTGGGGTGGGTCTTTCTCCTCAGCCCTACCTCAGGTCACCAGGCATTAGGTTCTCATAAGGAGTGCACAACCTAGATCCCTGGCATGGCAGTTCACGGTAGGGTTGGTCCTTCCTATGGGAATCTATTGATTATCTGACAGGAGGCAGAGCTCAGGTGGTGCTGCCTGCCATGAGGAGCAGCTGTAAATACGGATGAAGCTTCACTGGCTCTCTCCACTCACATCCTGCTGTGCAGCAGAGTTCCTAACCTGCTAAGGTAAGATACCACGCATGGCCCAGGGGTTGGGGATCGCTGATATAAAATGTTAAGAATAGACAAATTCATAGAAATGTAAAATGGAACAGTGTTGCCAGGGACTGGTGGCAAAGGGGACATGGGGATTGATTGCTTATGCATATAAAGTATCTTTTTTGGATGACAAAAATATTCTAAAATTAGATAGCAGTGATGGCTGCAGAACTGTGCAAACATACCTAAAAACAATGCACAGTATACTTTTTTTTTGTTTGGTACTGGGGATTGAACTCGGGTCCTTGGACTTGCGTAGCAGGCGGCAAAACCACTGAGCTAAATCCCCGGCCCCCATAATATACTTTTTAAATGGATGAATTTTACAATGTAAATTATATCTTTAAAAAGCTATTATTTTTAAAGTGTTCTATACATAAATATATTTACATATATGTACATGTACAATAAATTTTAGAGATAGGCATAGTTTAATATTTATAGTGTTACTTTTTAGGATTCAAAAATATTAACATATTTGAGGGTACACTGGAACATCACATAAGGTTTAGACTTAAATTTCTATTAAACTAGCAACACTAATGTCCTAGAATCAGTAGCAGTCTGCTTTCTACTGAACTAGGTTAGCTTTAAAATATATTATATATATATAAAGTATATATATATAAATAAATATATATAAATACTACACTTGATCTTAGCCAAAAGGCTGAGAAGTGATTATAAATAAATAAGCACATATAAATAAGCATATATAAAAGTATATAAAATAAATATTTATAAATATAATATATAAGTATATATAATAAAGTGTATATAAAAATTACAGTATATATATTTATATACTATGCTATATTTTCTATTTATAGATAAACTGTAAAAGTTAAACAGTATGTCTGTATATAACAGCAGGAGCAACATTTTTTACATTCTCATACCTGTGGAGCACACAGCATAGTCTCTCATACACACCATAGACCAAGTAATAAATGAGTGAAATGCTTTCATAATACCATATTTGTAAGATAGGACCATAACAGTAAAACTTTTATGCTATATGCTCTCCCTTTAGATCAGGTAGACCTTTTTTAATGGCAGGACATAATTATGTATACGTTTTATACAATTACTGCAGGGGTGGATGCACAGAAAGCCCACAACTAGTCTGGATGCAGGGTAGTTCTCAATGTTCTTAATCTAGGTCTCATAGTATTTTGGGGGTATTTTAGCCAGTTTAGAAGATCCTGTTGATATTTTTATTACTTTATATTACAAAAATAGGTACCTAGAATATACTTTTTAATATTCTGTAGTTGTCCCCCTCCCAGACACACAATCATGTACTTCAAATACACCCTTCCCTATTGGAAATCCCCATCCCAGAGGTCAGTCAATTCTCCACACCTGTGATTCAGGCCATCTTCAGAAAGTCTCTCTGAGCATGAACGGCTGGAGTCCAGCTCCTCTCCAACCAGCCCTTATTGAACAGCTAATAACCCCCTCTATCATCTACCCCTCCCTCTCTATCATCTATCATCTACCCCTCTCCCTCTCCCTCTGCCTCTCCCTAGCTAATCTTGCTTCCTAAGAAGTTAGTTTTTACTCTTCAATCCCTAACCCAACATGTATTCCCCTTAGAAGTACACATTTAAGGCTGCTGGCATAGCTCAGTGGTAGAACATTTGCCTAGTATATAGGAGTCCCTGAGGTCAATACCTAGAACTGAAAAAAATGGGCTGGGCTGGGGGAAGCTTTGGAGATTTAAAGCCAAACAAATTTAGCTCTCACAAATCATGTGATCTCAAAGCTAAAATCACCTGGGCACTTATATCATCTTCTTAGTCATGCTCCATTTTACTAACCCACATTTCAGTTGTTTGACAAAGGGCTTTGTGTGGTCCAGGCAGAGGCCCCAGCAGGAAAGTCTCCTCTGCAGCCAAAGTTTAACTACAAACACTTGTCCTTTTCTTGGTCATTACTGGATTCACTCAGCATCTGAGCTGATCATGGATTTTCACTGAATAATCACTGGCTATTAGCATCTAAAAAATACCAGTGTCGAACTCTGAAACCTTGAAGAATATGGGGGTTCTCAAGGAAGGAAGGGGTGGAAAGTAATATCTTTACAAGTAGGTAACTGTACACTCTGCAATCAGTCTTTTCAAAAAACCCTGCAGGGTGGCTAGAGAGAGCAATCATTGGGCATCCACCAAGAGGATGTCCTACCATTGTGAACCTGAGAGAAAGACACTTTCTTCCCTGTGCCCCTGCGGTGCTGGGGAGGTAGCTCTCATGCCACTTTACAGAGGAGAGGCAGCTGGGACACACAAGGGAAAGAGAGCCCCACCTGACAGCCAGGTGGAGCCCATAGGACCATAATGAGTGTTGAGAGCACTGATGTTGACTGAGATTTCTGCCACAGGCTTTATTAGTAAAGGTCTTCACCTAAACCTCCTGACAACCCAAAGAGCTGACCCTATGAAGCCCATACTTCACAGGGGACAAAATTTTAAAGGAAAAGTTGGACCACTGTCTCAGGATGTGAACCCACAGCAACTGCTCAAGTACTGTGGGATGCTGTCTTCCTAGCTTCCAGAAGGATCAGCTTTCCACATTGGGCCAATTTCTTAGAGATAGGGAATTTTACTTTTCTTGAAGTTTTCAAGAGACAGGGTCTCATTGTATTGCCCAGGCTGGAGTACAGTGACTATTCACAGGCGCGATCTCACTACTGATCAGCACGGGAGTTTTGACCTGCTCTGTTTCCGACCTGGGCCGGTTCATCCCTCCTTAGGCAACCTGGCGGTCCCCTGTTCCCAGGAGGTCACCATATTGATGCCGAACTTAGTGCAGACACCCGATCGGCATAGCGCACTGCAGCCGAGAACTCCTGGACTCAAGCGATCTTCCCACCTCAGCCTCCCGAGTAGCTGGGACTACAGGCGCGCGCCACCACGCCTGGCTGGGGCAATTTCTTTGGTATTCTTCTAGGTAAATGCATTATGACTTACATTTGCCCAGCATACGACCTGTGGAGAAAGGCCCTAAATTTCTGGTCACAGCTGCAGGGGTTGTAAACACTTGCGTTATAATAAAAATACTGAAGAAGTGCATTACTTTTATACACTAACTACATATTTTATATGCAGCCCAAGACAATTTCGCTCAATACAGCTCAGGCAAGCCAGGCATGTCAACACACTGACCATGGTTAGAAACACCCAGAGAAAGCTCCCCATTCAATAGAGAAGCGTCCCATGTGCTTCACAGCCAGGTACAAGACAGAAGTTCAGCCAAACAACCACTTGTGCACCAGATCCCACAGTTATCGGTGAAATCAAAAGCACAAACTATTTTTGCACTCATCTTTCCACATGTGTTTTTAAAATTCTTGTTTATTTTACTTTTGTCTCAGCTGTCAAAATAGAGTAGTTGGGGAAACATGCAAACAGTCCATAACAGTTTTTAAGAGGCCAAGTATTATTTTCAACAGAGAAGCTGAATCTTAACACATTTTATATTGTAGGCATTTGGGGTTTACTACATACACTTAATGAAATCCGAAGGTTTATATTCAGGGGCAGTCTTCTCCTCATCAACCTAAATCAGAATGGCTGCAGGCATCAGGAAGGAATTCAGATATCATTACTTACAATGGGATAAATTTAATCATGAGGAAGGTTTAAATATATATTCTGTTTTAATGAACTTCATTAAGGCAGCGGTTGGGGAACCTTACTCTTGTTTAAGACTTTCAATGCCTTTTTCTCTTTTCCCTAAAGAAGCTGTATGCTCTACTTAGCTGAACTGGAAAGCTGAAGTATTCTGCTAATAGTTTGCCAGGTTCCTGCAAGGCTTCCATTTCCGCCTGCCAAGCATTCAGCCCCAGCTCACAGAGTCCAGTAGCAGGAGCCAGAATGGAGAAACTCTCTCATGAGTTCCCTAAGTATGCAACCTTTTTAGCAGGACTCAGGGCTAGCTGCCTCCTGCCCTCTTCCTATTCCACACAACAGCATGTTATTGAGTTCATTTTCTGCACAACAGTCAACACCATCTGAATGTCCTTGTTCATTCACTTATTTACTTGTACCTTGTTTTCTCCCTCCCCTGAGGCCCTTTGTGAGCTCCAGGAGAGCAGGAGTTGTCCATATTCAGTGCTACACCCATAGGCCTGGACAGTCCCTAGGCACAGCTACACTTACAAATATTTGTTGAATGAGTGAATGAAATAGGTATGTGTATTTAAGAATGTAAAAATAGGATCTGAAGACTATTGCAAATAACCACCCTATTTACCAAAAACCACTTTACAAACTCATTAGCCAAGAGAAAGGGATACATGTTCATACCTCCCTGCTTTTAGGAGTGGTACACACCTTTTTTCCAACACCATTTTTTCAAGTTCAGAAAAGAACTATTCTACAAAACACTTTTTTTTTTTGGCAAAAGCAACAGCCACAAGGTAAGTATAACCTTTACACCTAAGAGGATCATATACTAACTGAAGCTTTGTACTTCCCACACTTACCTCTCCTTTGCCCGAAAGACTCTGTTAGGGTGGCAACATGTTATCAGCTCAGTGATTAGAGACACACGCTTCAAGTCATCCATAAAATTGTCCAAGTGTCTTTGAAAATTAAATTCTACAACAGAGTCACATTGAGCTGCATTATTAATATTATGACTTAGCAAAGGAGAAAAGGATCTTACCCTCTCATCTGGGGATTCAATTCTTCCAAGGCATCAGTTTGTAATTTAACACAATGGAATAGGCATTTATCTAACAAAACCTAATATTCTGGATGTGCAGACACATTCCAAGTCACCTTGGGAAGACATCTAGCCTCAAAACAGATACACAATGGGTTTCAGAAAATCAAATCGTATACGGACAGCCCCCTTCCCCGGGTCACAGAGATGGCAACTCAGAAAAAGCAGACTTACCCCACCCATCCCCCCACCCAATCAACCCATCCAGAAGTCAGGGAGAAAGGGATGCTTTTTGGGAAGTACAGTGACCATGGAGATAGGTTTCTCTACACACACAATTTCACAGTCGCTGGAGGCCAGGACTTACTAGGAGTATTTCTGACAGGGGGAGAGCAGAACTCTGTTTCTCATCTGGACATCTGCTCTGCCAATAAGATTGTTAATTTGCCACCATTTACTGAAATAGAGGAGAAGGGAAACAAAGATGGTTCAGAGAAGAGTGCGGAGGGAAGACGGGACCAGGCCAGCCTTTATGTTCCAGATTCCAAGCTCATGAGACATAAAGAAGCAGATCCCCCAGGGTAAACACCAGGAGGCAGGGTATCCTGCAGTTATTTATGGGCTGTCTATTGCTTTAGGTGACTGTAAGTTGAAAAATGACTAGGATGATGTTGGGCCTTTAGATACATGCTATACATTCTAACAGTTATTTTATTTGAAGCTCAGTCTCTACATGACTAGTAACATGACTTTGGGTAAGTCCCTGACCTCTCTGGACCTCAGTCTATAAACATGAAAATATCATTTACTTCATAGAGTTGTGTATATGTATGTTGAGAGCCTAGTACACCTTGTGAGTTTTCAATTCATTCATTTGTTAATTTGTTAGAATGATCCTTGACCAACTAGTAAGTGCCAGACATGTAACAGCAAAGCAGATAAGGCCCTGCCCACATGGAGCTTAAAATGTAGTGGGGAAGGCCAATGATGAACAAGGAACTATAAATGTGAGACATGTAATTAAATGGAAATGTTTAGTGTGCTCTGGTGATATATATCTGTAGAGACAAACCTAACCTCGAAGAAATATCCTTTAAGAAAAAGAATTTCAGGCTGACACATAACGTGTGAATAAGAATAGTATAGATGAAATAAATAGCTTGCGCAAAGCCCAGAATCTAGGATTAATGTAGCACATCAGAAAAGCTAAAAGAGGTCCAATATGAACAGATGACAAAAAGCAAAGGGAGAGTGTGACAGTTAATTCTATGTGTTAACTTACCTGGGTCACAGGGTGCTCAGGTGATTAAACAGTATTCTGGGTGTTTCTGAGGTAGTGCTTTTACATGAGATTAAAATTTAAAGCAAGAGACTGAGTAAAGCAGATTGCCTTTCATGATGTGGATGGGTCACATCTAATCAGTTGAAGAGCTGAATAAGCCCAAAAGACTAGAAGATTGTCTTCATACTTCATTGGCAAACTTGGTTCTTTCTGGTTTTGAATAAGATGGCTTTCTGTTATGCAGAAGTTTTTTTAATTTTTTTATTTTTGGTACCGGGGATCAAACTCGGGTCCTTGTGCTTGCAAGGCAGGTGGTGGAACCACTGAGCTAAATCCCCAGCCCCAGATGGCTTTCTGACTTGTACTGCTTCCTTGGGTCTCCAGGCTGGTAGTATTAGGACTCTAACTGTACCACTCACTTGCCTCAGTATCTGGCCTGCTGACTCATCCTATAGATTTTTGACTTGCTAGTTTCCATAACTGCATGAACCAATTCCCTACACACATATACATACAGGTACACATATATACATGCAGACAATATACACATACATATATACACGCACATGTATCCTATTGGTCTTTTTGAGAGAACCTTGAGTAATGAAAAGAATGAGGAGAGACAAAGTGGTGATATAGGGTAGTGGTCACCCAGTGATCCAGTGGGTAATTCATGGAATGAGAGGTCAAAGGAAAGGTACGGGGCAATGGTGTGCCCTCAGAGGGCATTATAAAGGAAGGATCGTGCCCAGTTGTGAATTTTAAATGGCCTGCCATGGTGCAGTGTGAAGACTGATGGGATGGGCCAATGGCAGAGCCAAGCGACATCGATGTGGACGTTACTGCTGCAAAATGAGCAGATGTCAGAGGCTTGGACCAGGGTAAGGACAGACAGAAAGAGAAAAGAAGGATCCATGAATATCAAGATATTTTAAAAGTTGGATATTAACATTCTCTCTTAGTAAAGGGAGATAAAACATTCTATAATTCTCCTTTAAGGAAAATACTTGCTAATGAAATGGATTCACTGGTTCTTTCAGATTGAACATATTTATGTGTTCATATCTTCCATTCTATTGATTCTGCTATCTCCTTTCCTCAGCCTAACATGACATAACTGTGAAAACAGGAGCTAAGAGAAAGAACAGATCGGGGAGTTTGGCTGGATTCCCAGACAGGAGATGCACCTTCCCACCCACTGGGAGGGAGGTGGTGCTCACAGGCACATGGAGCCACCCTTCCTTCCCACAGACACACAGCTCTCTCTGGGGCATGCAGCCACAATTTATTCTGTATCCTTCACTTACAATTCCTAAAGCAAATTGAGGATCTAATGCCTCACACAGATCCCCATTATTACACTGTGTATGTGTGTGATGAAAACAAACCCAACAGCCTGTTTAACATTTGACATTCAAATGCAGAAGTTTAATAGCTTTGTTTCTGAAAGATATTTGTGTGATTTTCACAGTCTGATGCAAAGGTGCCCCACAGACTGGAAGAATAAACAATGATAAAGCTGGGAGATACTGATGTGGCTGTTGCTGAAACCTCTTCAACCCCATAAGACTTTTGGAATCAGATCATCCACGCTCTTGGAACATTTTCAAAGCAAGTCCTCATGCTTGGGCCTACCACGCTTTATTTCTCCAACTTGGTCCCTTCCTGCTTGCCCCAGAAGGTCCAAGGTTGGAGCACTGCCAGTGGCCAGACTGATGCTATCTGGACTCTGCACCACATGAATACCCCTGACATCTGTCTCTCTGAACTCCCACTGCTACAGAGAGTGTTTTACTCACTTAACAGCAGGCCAAACCAAAAGGATTCCAAAACAGCTATTTACTCCCCATCCCCTTACTGATATTAAGACTTCTGATAATTAATTTTATGTGTCCACTAGGCTAAGGGATGCCCAGATATCTAAACATTATTTCTGGGTGTGTCTGGATGCTTCCAGAAGAGATTAGC